TGAGATCCGCCTTACCCAGCCACGAGGGTCCGCAGGAGCTATTCTGGGCGCCGCGTGACTTGCTCCGGTGCCAAGGTTCAGGCAAGCTTTCCGGTGAAGGAGCAACTAACTGTCAGGGGCTTCTTCTCACCCTCGAGCGCTGGTACCTCTATGCCTGATGCTGTCAGCCCAACCCCCAGGTCCTCTTCAGGCAAGCTTTCCGGTGAAGGAGCAACTAACTGTCAGGGGCTTCTTCTCACCCTCGAGCGCTGGTACCTCTATGCCTGATGCTGTCAGCCCAACCCCCAGGTCCTCAACCCCCACTACCTCCCCGGCCCCGGCCCCTCACCCCTCTGGTGGCTGCTCCAGCGAGGCTCAGCAGCCCGGCTCTCCAGCAGCAGGTCGGCCGTGCTGTGCGCAGGGAACAGCTCCAGCAACCTCGCCAGGTCTCCGGTGTACAGGGCGTTCTGCAGGGCCATGTCACGGCACAGCAGCGGCTGTGGGGGCCCCCAGACCTGACCGGCAGGGACCGAGGGGAAGCACCCCAGACGGTGTCCCCAGGGGGAAGGGGAGCTCCTTCTCACAGGCATGGCTCTTTTCTGGGAGACAGAGCCAAAGAAGCAGGACTCAGGGCAATGCCGGCAGGTGGGCGCTGGGCCCTGGCCAGGCGGGGCCCAGTGCGGGAGGGGCGGGGAGCCAAGCCGTAAATAGCCCAGACTGTTCTAGCTGTCAGTCCTGGGAATGAGGCCTCTGGCTGGCAGTGGGGACGAGGGAGGAGCCTGGAGACGCAGGGAGGATGGGGCCCTTCAACCCCGAGCTTCACCCCAAGCTGTCTACCGCAGGGTTGAAGGGACCACCTTGCTGATCACACCCACTACAGCTTCACAGGTAAACGGAAGGAAGCGGAGCCCAGAGGTGGCAGGTGATTGGCCCCAGGCGAGACAACTTGTTGCAGGACAGGGCCTAGGAGGCGGGTGGGGCGGGGCTCCGGAGCCGCCATTTCTTAGTCCCTGTCGTCTAGCATGTCCTCCACCAAGAGGTGTCCTGCAGCCTGGGCTTCGATCCCAGGGGAGGGCAGGTGGGTGCTCAGAATTTTTCCTGTCCTCCCAGATGTCACCAATTAGCCTTGCACCTTCACAGGGAGTTCACAGTAGTAACAATCCGGTGTACAGGGCGCAAATACACCCTCCGTGTAACAAATACACCCTCCGTGACGTATGCCCTCCAGGAGTTCTTAGGAAGACAGACTACCCAGGGGAATTAGGGGGTCTGTCTCCACAGGAAGCAACAGAGCCCCCCGCCCATCCCGGGACCAAACCCCCACACCCATCCGACTGCCGATCCCCATGACCCCGGATGACCCCTGGATCTCCCATGGCCTCTGTACCTGCCATAGTAGAGGGGGTCTCAGCTGGGGGGTGAGGAAGAGGAAGAGGCTCGGCCCACTCAGGCACATCAGGATAATGAGACGGCTTCATTTGAGGAGATAAAATGAAAAAGGAAGGGGAGGAAAAAAGCTCAAACCCAGGCCCCCGGCTCGGCTCAGCCACCGCTGCCCACCGTAAGCTCTAGGCTCGCTCCCGCCCCTGTGGTCCCACCGCACCTGGCTCTCGGTGCCTCTGTGACCTGTGGGACGTACCTCGACCTTCAGTCACACACTCTTGGCATCGTTTCTTCTGGGAGAGCCCCAGGGCTCCCGGCTCTCAGTGGCGTGGTCGTCCTCACTCCCAGAGTTTCCCGACCCCGAGTCCCCAGCTCTTCCTTCTCCACAGGGGGGACCCACAGATGGGCTTCCCGCCACAGACGTGTCTGTCTCCCCACTCTTTCTCCTCGGTACCCCGCCAGCCCCCTGACTCCCCAGACAGGAATAATCCAACTCCAGAGCAGAAGGAACCTTGGAGATCAGCTGGGTCCACCTCTCCCCACTTTTCAGGGGAGGACAGTGAGGGCCAGAGACAGGAAGGAACTACGCAGACCACATGGGGCGTCAGGGCCGGGCGGGGCTAGACTCGTTTTTCACGCTTTCTCTACTTACCGAGACCTTCCTTCGCCCTCTCTCCTCTCTCCCTCGTTCCTTCTAGTCCTATTTATTTTCCTCCCCTACATACCTCGAGGAGGAAAGGGAGTGGGGGAGGAGCCAGGACAGGAGAGTGACAGGAGATGAAACACGGTATGGTCAGAGGTCAGAGGTCAGGGATCGGGGATCAGAGGGCCAGGAGGGGGTGGGGTGAGAGGGGGAGGCTGGGCACCGGGCAGGGGACACAGAAAAGGGGCAGAAGCACAGAGATGGACAAAGAGAGCTGGTCCCTGAGCCACCTGAGCGTTTATGCCTCCGCCCCCTGGTCCCTTCGCCCAGTGCCACGGGGCACTGTCCGCGTCCACCGCTACTGTTGGGCACCCAGGCTCGGCCATCACTTCCGTTTTTTCTTCTCCTTCGCCAGCTTGGCCTCCTCGGCATCCTGGTCCTTGCTAAGCTTCATCATCTTCTTGCCCATCGGGGTCTTGAAGTACCAGTCCTGGGTGAGAGGAGGAGGAGGAGGGTAAATGCACTGGATCTGGGCCTCGGCCCCGCCTCCCGGCCTCGCCCCCTCCGCGGTTATGGATTCTCCTCCCAGGTCAGCGTCTCGCTAGAACCAAGGTTTCTATAGTCCCCCCAGCTGCTCCCGGCCACAGCGTCAGCCACTGCGAGGCAAGCCCTCCTCCCCGCCCTGCGGCCCTGTGTCCTGAGCTCCCACAGCCATCGCGCCACCCTGAGGCTGGCCGCCGACTCAGAGAGGGCAGCCGAGGGAGTGGCAGCTGGTGCCAGAACCAAGCTTGGGCCCCTAATACACAGGTGGCATTTTCAGGCTCCCACCTCAAGGAAACGAGGTGAGCCGGTCCCGCCCATATGTCCTTCCCTATGACTTCTCGTCCCCGCTCCAGGCTGAACCCCATGGGGGAGCAGAGAGAGGGGTCCAAGGCGTGCTGTGCGCCTGGGGCTTTGGACGGCCGACACCCTGCCCTCCCCTATGCCCACCCGGCCTCACCTTCAAGGCCTCCTCCTCCTCTCTGTACACCGGCTCCAGCTTCGCCAGGTGACCCAGGAACTCTGAGGCCACCAGGGGCCGCTTGGACAACTGCAGGAGCCGCCGCTCAGTCAGCACTGATTGGATGGCTTGCACAATGTGGCCGGGTGTGTAGCCATCGGACACCTTGGCCAGGGCGCTGATGTCCAGGCTCTGGGCCGCCTGGCTTACCTGGGCCTCTAGCATATGCTTCCAGAGCACTGCAGGGGGTGACACAGGGCGGGGAGAGGCCGTGGGCACTTCTGCTGGGGTCTGGAACAAACTGTGCTTCTGGAGGGTGAGCATCTCTACGGCCAACAGCACCTCTCCTCCCAGGAAGGCAGGGATCGTTGCCCCCTCGACACGAGGAACCGGGCCAGGACCCAGGCTACCAGGCCGTGGAGGTGCTGCTCAGACTGGCAGTGGGGGTGGGAAGAAGGGCGGGAGGCTATGGCAGGGGTGGTCCCCGGACCCCTTTTCTGGCAGGTGCCCGTATCCCAGGGCCTCACCATAGCGAGAAGCATAATCGGGCCTCGGCATGAGGAGGATGCGCTCGTAGGTCCGGCACAGCCCCTTCATCTCGGCCAGCTGAGGCCGGTCGGTGGTCCCTATGAGCATCACGCGGTCTCCGGGACTGAGCAGTCGCAGGGCCTTGGTGAGGTCCTTCTTTATTCGCTTTGGGTCCATCTGCTCTGCGGACGGAGAGGTGGTGGGGTCGGGACACGGCGACCTATCTATCACGTGGGCTTCTGAGTTCTCAGGGCCCCTGCTCGGCCTCACATGGACTCCGAGAGGCAGATCGGGGTGGCTGTCAGTCCTGCTTCAAGGGTAAGGAGATAAGGAAGGAGGAGAACAGGGGACTTGCCCAAGGTCTGGAGTGGCGTGCCTCGGGCGCATGACACCTGCCCGTTCTCCCTCACCTCCT